GTCCTACACTTTCTTCGCTCATTAGTGAAGGTGACCAGAGCCGTGGCTCTATGTATCTAACCTATGCTCCAGAGACATGGCCATTCTTGTGATGTGGTTCTCATCTGTTCTACTCACATGCCCGTACCATCGCAGTCGTTTTTCTTGCATTTTCTTAACGATGGGAGCAACTTTCATCCTTACGCGAACTGTGTCATTACAGACATGTCTCCATGACACTAAGCTTGTGTTCTTCATTTCGCGTACTGGGCCAACATTCGCAGCCATATAGCGTTGTGGGACGGATCACAGTACGGTGTATTTGGGATTTGAGTAGCACTGGCATTCGCTTGTCGCATAGAACTCCTGTGAAGGTTCTCCATTTCATCCAGGATGCGTTTGTATCAAAAGACACCTTGACGGTGATTTCTCCAGTTCCGCATTGGTTTTTCTCAAGCTGCTAGACTTTTTCTAGCCGTGACTCCGTTCTCCACTTATGGTGAGCCTAAATGGGTATGATAACACAAAGTAAAAAAAAAGGATAATAAAGAACAGGAAAGAAATAAGGAGAAATAGTTGTACCATTTCAGTTTTGGACAGCTATCGTGATTACTGTCATCAGAAGAATTTGAAGGGATATCGAATACTGTGCGAGGAGGCAATTTCGAATTCGGTGATCTGAGGGAAATAAGTGCATTTAAAAAATTAAAGATGATGAGTTGATGATTTTTATATTGTATGGGCCGTATATGTTCGCTTGTTTTCTTAACCCTTTCTTGAACTTAACAATGTTAAAATTAGGATTACACTGAATTAAAATATACATAGACAAACTTTTAATAGTCAGCACAAACATGAGAGAATAGAGATAGAGCAAAACAGCAAACAAATAAATGAAAACCCACTTTTTCGAAGAAGTAGAGGGTGTACTGTGGATTTCGTTTGATGGATTTCGTTGGCCTAATGAGACAGAGGTTCTCTTTCCCGATCGAGTATGCACCATCCGTTTAAATTTTTCTGGGAAACCAAGACGTTTTCAAGTTGAACAAATGAGATGAAGACGTTGCAGAGAAATATAAGCGACATGTGCAAAAACGATGAAAAGCTTTTCCTGAACTGTCTTTGTACTTTTCAAAGACGCGAGATTCAGTCATTTGTCGCTACCCCACAAATGATTTAAGTTAGCGCATACGCTCATATTTACGATTGCATTTGAGTATCGACAGTGAGGCAGGGTGAGAAAGCAGAAACTCTTTCAAACTGAATGCACTCAAAAGAAGAAATATGAAAACAATTTAAAAATAATAGTAAAAAAACAAAATTGACAAAAATAGAAACTCATAAAACAAAGGCTTCAGTTCTTTATTAAAAGCAGGATTTCAGTTAAGACTGTTGAAGTCTAGAATACATCATGAAGATGAGAAACTGCAGAAGCAAGTAGACAAGTATGGAATTTTGAGAGAAGCCAGAAACCACTGATTTCCCAACCTAGCTAAAAGAGAAAATTATGAGCAAAAATAAGGAAAAGATCCCAAGATTTTAAACCCTACAATTTCGCGCTCGAGTGGCAATCAAAAGTAAACGCGGCTTCATTGCTCCGCTACGTCGCAGACCTATAGGTTTGCAGCAGCCTCCCTTTTTGTGGTTTCAATGAGGTTGCGTTAAATTCTTATGCACAAAATCACGGTTATTGCACCATAAGCAACAAATCCTTAGAACTTTCCGGAAAGTTGCACAAAACAAGGTATGTAGAAGCAAAGATCTAGAATATTTGTTCCATTCATTGGCAGTCTACAATATTTCAATACAATATTTTAGGTTTTTATGATAATCTTGAGTGGTAACTATATAGTGAACCGCAAATCCATTCATTCATTCATTCATTCATTCATCCATTCATTCATATATCCATTCACTCATTCATTCATCCACTCATCCAAGGGTGAACCC